ATAATGAAAGGAATTATTCTAAACAACAATGGTTCTTCCATATTTCAACTCTAAGGCCACTTAAAGCTATTAGGCCCTGATGCCCTACAATGGTGTCCTTGCTACTAAACTGTGTCTATTTCAAGTTTTCACTTGAAATGGTCCATGGGAGAATGCAAAAAACAAACTATCCAACACTCATCTTCCCCCTTGGTTCTTCCCTTGCTGCAGTTGCTTTTCCTGGCAAGGGAAAGAAAGGGGAGGAACCTAGCTACATGGAAGGAGTGAGAAAGTGCTGGACCAAACCATAAAAAGCTCATCTTAACTCTCAAAATGTTGTTGGAAAAGAAGAAGCCTTTTATCTAAGCACTTTCTGCTGTGACTTGTAGAGCTTCTCTGTGGCTGGAGATAAACTTGGCCATGTCCCACACAATTCATTTTTTTGTTGGTAAGAGGCAGTCAGTCAGTCAACAGTGCCTAACTGCTTGCTGTGCAGTCTTGCTGTGTCCTTGGTATTAGGCCCAACAGTTTTTCTTGTAGCATCATCATACTGCACACTTTCCTAATTGCACATCCTGTACTTCATTAGTGTCTCTGTATCAGAAAGCTGGCATACTTTCATAATTGCATACCATGTACTTTATTAGTCTCTCTGTATCAGAAAGCTGGCACATCTCCCCTTGCTTAAAATTTAATCAGAGGTTTTACAGCTCATGAACATTTAACAGGAGCAGACAGAACTCTGAACTTTGCATTTTGATTTAATTACTGCTAACAGACATATGCCATTTTCAGCTGTTTTCGTTCTTCTGTACAGCCAAATTTCTTACTGTTGAAAAGCCAAATGTGAGTTTGGATAAATAGTTTTCAGATCCTCTTAGTAAGGTGCAGGAAGCCCTTATCTCCTGCCTACCAGGATGCAGCAGAAAATAATCTCTTAAAGTTTGTCAATCTATGTGTGTCTGTCCAGGGGAGAGGGATCCCTATTTCAAATCTGATGGTGAAATCTAAATACTTGGCTCTGCTTCGGTCTAAGATCTTGAGCATTAACTGAGAAAAATGTTGTATATCAAATAATTGAGTTATATCAAAGCACTTTGATATCTTGATGGAAAGATGAATTTTGATGTTTGATAAGTGACATAACAAAATAAAATTAGAGAAGATGTGTTGCCACAACTACATTGTGCAGGGGATTTGTGGATTTGAAGACACAAATGAGTAGAAGTTGAAAGGATTTATTGAACAAAGAATAACTAGTTGCACAGTGTAATATAGGCTGAAAATATCCACTGTGGTGGGAGTAAAACAAGAAGTAACCATATTGAACAAGGAATGTTAATACAGAAGAACATGTTATGTTTTCTGTTATGTCCTGAGGACTCTAGGAGTTCTCACTCAGGTCCATTCACTTTGCGGGGGCGTTTCTTCCCTTTACCCATTGGTTGGTTCTCCCCAGCAGCCAGCTATAAAAGCAGGCTGCGGGGTCCAACCAGTTGCTGATCGCTGCGAGCCAGTTCCAGGCGTGGCAAGCACGGTCAGCCCTTTATTGTTATAATAAAGTATTGTTGCACTCATGCTCTGGTTCAGCCTCTCTTTTCCCAAACTTAACACTGGGGACGAGGATGGGATGGCTACCAGAAGCACCATGCAACCGCTGAGTCACTAGCCGCCGATCCGCAGCCAGAGAGAGCGATCGGCCGGCGATAAGAGCAACGCTGATCTGCAGCCAGAGAGAGCGGTCAGCAAGCAAAAAGAGCAAACAAAAAGAGCAAACGCTGGTCCGCTGACAGAGAAAGCGGCCAGCAAGCAATAGAAGTGAACACTGATCCGCAGCCAGAGAGAGCGGTCAGAACGGAAAGTTAGAAGCGTCTGTAGCCGCTTGTTAGCCCAGCTACAGGGAAAGTGAAGCGCTGCGAGCCGCAGCCGCTCATTGTTTAGGCGCGAAATTCAAACGGCTGTCATTTGAATTTCAAACCTAAAAGGCACAGCACGGTGCTGTAGTCGAGTCACTGACGCCCACACAGGCGCGAATTCAAACGCTGCCAATGGCTGACGGCCAAACGTGGCTAACCCAGAGAGAGAGAGAGGATTGCGAAAAGCCTCTCCAGAGCTGAAATCACTTGCCTGCCACAGGCACTAGAACATTTTTCTGCTGCCCCAGAGAGATTTTGTCCACAGGTTGTTCTACCGGCCCCATCACCATGAACTCCAATCCAGTCTTCCCAGCGTTCAAACCGGATGAGGAGAAGTGGGAATCATACAAGAACCGTTTTAACCATTATATCGATGCAATTGGGCTGGCTGATGCTGGAGAGCATCGGAAAAAATCGTATTTCCTGATCTACTGTGGAGCCATCGTCTTCGATACTGCCACAGCTCTCGTGGCTCCACGTAAGTTGAAAAACGTTCCTTGGTCAGAGCTACTTGAAATCCTCACTAACCACTATTCTCCCAGGCCCTCACAGATTGCCAAGAGATTCACCTTCCGTATGAGGAAGCAAGCGGACAAGGAAACCATTAATCAGTATATGGCCGCCCTCAGAACAGCAGCATTGCATTGTGGGTTTGGAACCTACCTGGAGGACATGCTCCTCGATCAACTAGTCTGCGGGGTCAAGGACCTACACCTTCAAAGGCGCCTCCTCGCGAAAAAAGACCTCAATCTCGCACAAGCAGTCGAGGAGGCCTTAGCAGCAGAACTGGCAGCGCACTCAGCCACCGAAATCCATGGCCCGACTACCAAGCTGACGTCAATTCCAGTCCACTCCGAGGAGGTGGTAGCAGAGGAATCCCTGAATGATGAAAACGACATCCACCGCCTCTCCAACGACAGACGGCCGCAGGTAGGAGATAAACAAGAAAACATCGGTCCACCCAAGCACATCACCCTGTGCCTAGCCTGTGGTGGATCTCATCTGAGGGCCACCTGCAGGTTCAAAGGAGCCACCTGTAATAACTGCCATAAAAGGGGGCACATCGCGAGAGTCTGCCAAGCCCCTCAAAGCTCCACACAAAGGCACCCCCCCTTCTCACACTCGGGGCCACAGAGGCAAGTATTGAACTGTCGCACGCACCACCGTGCCAAGCACACTTGCCACACTGTTAGTAAAATCTCTCTCTCCGTTTCCTTAGAAGGTAAACCGTGCCGCATGGAGGTTGACACAGGGTCAGCGCTCTCAATTATCTCGTGGAACACCCTCAAGAGGCTCCAGCCCAGCCTGACCACTAGCCGGCTCCAGAAGTGCCATTTCAGCCTAAAGGACTACCAGGGGAAGACCATTCCTGTAATCGGCAGAGGCAAGTTCCTTGTCAATTTTAGAGCTTTTAAAGGTCACCTACCTCTAGTGGTAGTTAACGGCAATCTCCCTACCTTATTGGGGCTCGATTGGTTTCCCCATCTCGGCCTAGGGCTAACAGGAGTCCATGCTGTCTCAACCTCAGACACTGACTCCTTATTCGCTGATTACTCAGATCTATTCAGCGATGAGCTGGGGTGTTATAACGGTACCCCAATATCGTTCTCAGTCGACCCCCAGGCAGTCCCAATCAGGCTAAAACCGCGTAGGGTCCCATTCGCTATTCGGCCAAAACTAGATGCTGAATTGGACAAACTATTAAAACAAGGGGTAATTGAGCCAACAGATTTCGCCAAATGGGAGACGCCCATTGTCACACCCCTCAAAAAAGACGGTAGCCTGAGAATTTGCTCGGACTACAAGACCACAATCAATAAGTTTCTACAAGTTAGCGCTTACCCAGTGCCCGTCATTCAGCATTTATTACACACTTTTGAACCTGGCAGCATTTTTGCCAAATTGGACATGTCTCAAGCGTATCAACAGTTCCCTGTTGACAACCAAACAGCGGAACTCCAGACCATTGTCACTCACAGGGGTGCTTTCCGATGCAAGCGTCTCCAATTTGGCGTAAGTGTTGCCCCAGGTATCTTTCAATCCCTCATGGAGCGGATTTTACAGGGCCTCCCTGGAGTAGTACCCTACTTCGACGACATCTTAGTCTCGGCCAGGGACAGACCCCAACTCTTTCAGAGAGTTCGAGCAGTGTTAGAGAGGTTCAGACAGCATGGCCTCAAATTGAAAAAAGAAAAATGCGCCATTGCCACTAGACAGGTGGACTTTCTGGGTTATAAAATTGACGCCTCTGGCATTCACCCCCTGGAGTCCAAGGTTAAGGCAATTCACGAGGCACCCACTCCAACCTCCAAAACTGAACTTCAGGCCTTCTTGGGGCTATTAAACTTTTACGCGTCTTTCTTGCCCCATAAAGCATCAGTAGCTGAACCCCTACACAGATTACTGGATAAAAAGTCACCTTGGCACTGGGGGCACAAAGAAGACCATGCTTTTCACGCCGTGAAATCACTACTCATGTCAGAGGCGGTACTTATTCAATTCGACCCCAACCTTCCTTTAGTGCTGGCAGCAGACGAATCCCCCTTTGGAATTGGGGCAGTATTAAGCCACAGGCTTCCCAATGGCGCCGAGGCTCCCATTGCCTTTTTCTCCAGGACGCTCTCCGCAACGGAGCGTAATTACAGCCAGATCGATAAGGAAGCTCTAGCGGCTGTTGCAGCAGTGAAAAAATTTCACGAATTTCTCTTTGGCCATTTTTTCGAGCTGGTCACAGACCACAAGCCCCTCCTGGGTCTACTAGCCAGGGACAAACAGACCCCTCAAGTCCTTTCTCCTAGGATGACGAGATGGACCCTCTTCCTAGCAGCCTACTCCTACAGACTCATACACCGGCCAGGTAAAACATTGTCCCACGCTGACGCTCTCAGCCGCTGTCCCTTGCCGGCCCCGGCTGAAGACCCTGCTCCTGTCCACGCTATTTTCGAGGTAACCCAATTAGACCTCCCCATCACTGCCCTTGACATTGCTGCTAAAACCAAGGCAGACAAAACGCTCGCCCAGGTGCTCGACTGGGTGAGGAGGGGGTGGCCAGGTGGCAATGTTGAAAACAAATTCTCACCTTTCAAGACCCGCATGCAGGAATTGTCCAGTTTGCAGGGCTGTCTACTGTGGGGCACTCGAGTGGTCATCCCGACCTTACTGCGTACCCGAGTCCTGGAGGCGTTGCACGAGGGACACCCTGGCATCGTGAGAATGAAGGCATTAGCACGCAGCTACGTATGGTGGCCGGGCCTCGACGAGGACATCGCTAGATGGGTAAGCTCCTGCAACCCCTGCCAGGAATCCCGTCCAGCTCCTCCTATTGCCACCCCTACTAAATGGGAGAGCGCCAGCACTCCGTGGTCCAGAATTCACATCGACCTGGCCGGCCCTTTGCATGGGAAGATGTTCCTAGTGGTCGTGGACGCATATTCTAAATGGATTGACGTAGCTCAGCTATCCACGACCACCAACGTATTAACACGCTTGTTTGTTACACACGGGCTACCCGACTCCATTGTCTCCGACAATGGCCCACAGTTCACATCAACCGAGTTCAGCCATTTCGCTGCCAACCTGGGTATCCGCCACATTTTCACAGCCCCATTTCATCCTGCCAGTAACGGATTGGCTGAAAGGGCCGTCAGGACCACTAAAGAAGCCCTGGCTAGGTTCAGCAAGGATGACTGGCACCACAAACTCTCGCGTTTCCTGATGAGCCAGCGTTCAACTCCATGTTCAGTCACCAACAAGTCCCCAGCTGAGCTCCTGATGGGCAGGCATCTGAGGACTGTATTGGACAGACTTCACCCACAATACTGCCCTGACTCTCCCCTCGCTTCCACATCGGGGGTTAGACATTTTATCTTACAGGAGCCAGTATTCGCGAGGAACTTCGCTGGAGACCCCCTGTGGATCCCGGGCGAGATCGTGGCCATCACCGGACCAAGGTCGTATCGGGTCAGACTGGAGGACGGCCGGGTCTGGAGAAGGCACCTAGACCAGCTGCGTAGGCGCCTCAGCACCCACACGAGCAGGGACCCAGAATCACAAAGCGACGGGAGGTCTCAGCATCAACCCTACATCCACATCCTTCCCGGCGACCAGTACGCACCAACAGTCATTCCAGAAAGCCCGAGCACGGACAGCGGCGCCCAGACGGTGGACCAGCCCGATCCAGTCTACGGGAGCACGTCCCCAGTGACCAACCCTACGAGTCCCAGGCCTGCCCGAACCGAGGGGCACATTGGTGACACTTACCCGGCTCTGCCTTCCCAGACAGACTCTGAACGGATAGTCAGCGTTCCAGAGCTGCGCCGTTCCGGGCGCCAACATAAACCTCCTGCCTACCTCAAAGACTATGCGTGTTCGCATCTGGGGGGAAGGGGTGTTATGTCCTGAGGACTCTAGGAGTTCTCACTCAGGTCCATTCACTTTGCGGGGGCGTTTCTTCCCTTTACCCATTGGTTGGTTCTCCCCAGCAGCCAGCTATAAAAGCAGACTGCGGGGTCCAACCAGTTGCTGATCGCTGCGAGCCAGTTCCAGGCGTGGCAAGCACGGTCAGCCCTTTATTGTTATAATAAAGTATTGTTGCACTCATGCTCTGGTTCAGCCTCTCTTTTCCCAAACTTAACATTTTCCATCTTTTCCAGAGGAAACAGCTGTATTGTTATAGATTATTCCTGTAAATGCATTGCATCAACCCTGGGTAGGCCTATGTTGAAACTCCTCTCTAGGAGAAGTTTAACAGAATATGTAATGCTCTAGTTCAGTCAGTTGTATGTCAAATTAAGCAAACTGATTTATCATTCTTGTCTATTAATTAGCAAAACATCATGTGAGAATACACTCCCTGCCATAGGATTCTGAGTTTGGAAGTACACATCTTCAAGAGAGAGATACCACCATTAAACTAGGTAGCATAAGAAGATGAGATAAGAGTTAATTATGAGAAACTGGTGAGTGGGGATGAGGAAGTGGAATTTCAGAGGGTTGTTTTTAGGAATCAAGGCCAAATTGAAGCATCTGAAGACAGATGTGTCAATGTATCTGTAGTTATCAGGCTATCTAGAGACCTTTTTAACATCTGTCTCAGAGGGATCCAGAACATGCCTGATTTCAAAATTGGTTCTTCCAATATTCTTGTTTGGAATTTGAAAATTAATGGACTAGTGTCTCTAAAAATAAGCAGACAAACAACTCCATCTCCAATCACAATAAAATGCTGGAAATTAATGAAAGCAATAAAGACAGTATATATCAGGAAGCATAGACAGGAAAAAAAAACCCTTATATAGCCATAAAATCTTCAATCTAAAATTTTAAAGGGAACAAATGAAGATTGAAATAAATGTAAGTATTCCTATATGTAAAAAATTAGTGAGTTCATGCACATACCTGTGTGTGTGTTTGTGTGTGTGTGTGTGTGTGTGTATTTGCTGGTTATTTTTGCTTCACTGGTTATTATGGTGAGCAGTTCGGCTTTTGCTTCCCACAAGCTGCTGAATTCTGAACATTAAAGAGCACAATATAGGTCACTTTCAAAGTCAAGCCTGTTATGAGTTATAAGTGTAGAAGAAACAGTTTAATAAAGTACTGTGTGATGAAAATAGACACTGCTCACTTGTTAATAAAATAAAACAAGTGATCTTTGTGGGAAGTTATCTCTGGCAACTGAATCAAACTTGAGTTTCTAAAAAGTTATTTTGGAGATTCTCTGGAGAATACTGAATGTGGTAAAAAATTGTCCTTGAAATTTCATTTATAATATACTGAACTCTGCTAAAAGCTATCATTTTTGAAACCTTGAAGTTCTTGGCATATTCCATGATATTTCAGAAATAGGGTCATGTCTTCCTTCAGGTATCTGACATATAGAAGGTTTCAGGATATGATTAAAACAGACAAGGCCACATGATTGTCTTGTTATATGTTCACTCAATTTAGAATTTGGATGTCAGTCAAACTTCAGCAGAATATCAAATACTTGTAGTCCTATGGCCTTCTTCTTTGGGATGGTCATGGTGGTAATTTCGCATCCAGTAGATGTAGGAGTGGGATTCAAATAATTTAACAACTGGTTTTCTGTCCTAATGATTTCTTCCAACAGCCAGTTCACCAAACTGCTCAGAAAGTTAACAACCAGTTCTCCCAAAGTGGTGCGAACTGGCTGAATCCCACCACTGAGGAAATGTAATTGTGGGGTAAATTGATGCTGGTAACCCTTAAAGAATTGTTGCTTCACTCCCACCCTAATAAGCCCGCCCTGATTCCAGAGCTATTTGATAACTACTATCTGGTTTCCAAACATTATTTTGGGTGTGAATGCTGTTGAGGAGTTTTGGAACTAATACAAAGTGGACATATGTTAGCCAGAGTTTAGACCCATGTATGGGGCTGAGACAGCGTTGGCTTCTCTAGTTAATTACCCCAGTTAGGATTTGGATGGGGATAATGTGCCTGCTTTAGTCCTTTAGGACCCCTTGGTGATCTCTGATATCATCAATCATGGTATTCTTCAGGACTGTCTGCAAGAACTAAGGGTTGGAGGTAGTGTCCTATAAAAGTTCCACTCCTTCCTCAGCAGCCAGTTACAATCAGTGGCAGTTCAAAAGAGAGAATAGCTGGCTGCTTACTCCCACGGGAAGCCTGTTAGGGATCAGTTCTTTCACTTTTGTTATTTAACATCTCCATGAAGCTTTTGGAGATTGTCTGCTGGTTCGGACTGAACATTTAATTCAGTTTACTTGACAGAATGAAAGAAAAGTCATGTAAACTAATATACTCAATCCAAAGTTTATATGGTACTTCCACCAATAACTTAGTGCTAAAATCATATAGATTATTTCTTCAAATCATTTTTATACTTGACAAAGAATTGCTGTTCTTCCATCTCAGTAATACAGTGTTTTGGGGATCATAAAAGCATCTATGTCCATTATTCTTCTGCTAGTTTTCTATGTCCATTATTCTTCTGCTAGTTTTCAATCTGTTGAAATATAATGTAAAATAATGTAAACATCTCTAAAAACCAATGAATCTCACAGCACAAAATTAATATATGACATGTATTCAAAAGGGAGCCATTACACTATAAAACCATTTTATATGAATCATTATTGCATTTTGAGAAGTGTATCTCTATTTTTAACGTGTCCAAAAATATAAAGTAACACACTGCTTGTTTAAATCTATAGGAATCTGAGATACAGATGCAAAATGACCTTTCTTCAACATTCTTGTGTGAATCTTCTATTCCTTATTTTCCATGCCTTCCTATATTTTTGCTCTGAATTATCCCACTGCATACTTCCCTCCATTAAGGACCATGTGTTGGGTACATTTTTTTCAACCAACTATGAATCTATTTGGTAAATGATTATCTGTGTCACATTGTTACATTTTATGAAGAAGGAGGCCGTGAAAGAAAGCCATCAAATGCCTTCGTGGAGTGTACTACTACCACAGATCTTGGTTTGACATTATCCATTTTTAAAATAAACCTGTCTGATTCCTACTAATCACCTTGCTCTTTTCCAAGTGCTTGTAAACCCACAGCTTGATTATACTTTCTAGAATTTTCTCAGATATTGATGTCAGCGTCCAGGAAAATTTATGTGGGCACAGACAGTCCTTTAAATAATATGATCCAAATCATTTCAAGCCATAAGGATCAATATAATTGCTTCTGATTAAACTAAAGTTACACATATAATCAGTACAATCAGTATAATAAACCTATTGATATAGCCAGTAGTGGTATGCTGTCAGTTTGCACCAGTTCTAGTGATCCAGTAGCGCAGGTCAGTAGTTGGCTCTGCCCACCTGCCCTCATCCTTTCCTGTCCTATATTTCCTTTGTTTGTAGCTCAGCTGATAAGCATAGCAGAGCGGATTGTGGCACCTCAGCTATTTTACCCACTAGCGCTGATGGTAAAGTAAGTTTTCATGCTTAAAATTGCCCATTTTAGAATGCTCCACGCATGTGCGAAGCATGCCCCCACAAAACTGGTAGTAAAATATTTTGAATTCCACCACTGGATATAGCATGCTTTGAATTCTGCCACCGGATATAGCATACTTCAAGATTTAAGAGCTGTAGTGGTGCGGTGGTTAGAATGCAGTACTGCAGGTTATTTTTGCTGATTGCAGGCTTCCAGAAGTTCGGCAGTTCAAGTCTCACCAGCTCAAGGTTGATTCAGACTTCCATCCTCCTAAGGCCAGTAAAACCATACTTCCATGTATTTTTTATTAGCATTTTATAGCCTTGGCCACAATTTGAAATCCCAACAAGACAAAGTTACCAGTTGTAGTACTAAAAATGCAATCTTGTGAAACTGCTGATAGCTAAATTTTCCAGATTCTTTGCATAGAGCTACTGTAATTGCATAGGAATGTAGGGAGCACATGAGTTATCAACCTTATTTATGAGCAGATGAAATCCTGCATATGTATGGTATATAAGCATCACACTATTTATTTTTTATGTTTGCCTTGTTATGCAAAGCACATAAAAGGAATAGGAAATTTCAAAAATATAAAAACAAAATGGAACATAGCTAAAATTAGTTTACATTGACACCATTCACTATATCTCTACATTATTTATTTTCCTTAGAAACCATTCTTGCTTCCATTAAATCCATATGTTCAGATATACCTAATTTTGTTTTTTTAAAGTCCTTTCATGTCTTTTTAAAGGGTTTCATCAATCTGATATAATTTTGATCGTCTATTTACCCCTTGCTTCCATTTCTTGCAAGAGAGCACATAATATATCTTTCTAGCAACATTTGCATATTTTAAAAACTTCTGCATCTACTTTACATTTTTAGTAAATATTTTCCCAAGGCAAACAAATGTATCTACATCTTCTAAGATTTCCTCTCAGCTCATTTATATATAACATAGTTGCTCACCCCATTTTCATCATCAAATGTGAACACTTTGGTCTTTAATAAATTGTAAATCCATATATTACATTGCAAGCATACAGTCTCAGATTTGCTGCAAATCATTTAGCTTCTCTGCCAAAACAGGGCATTATCTCCATACAAAAATTAATTTACATTCACTTTCCTAACCAACACATTATTTATTTCATAAGCATTCCCAATTGATTGATTTACACATGTATTTAAAAAACAAAAGGGATATTTCATGTTTTTAATCTTATCTTACCTGTTCAACGCTGAATCATTATTTAAATTGTCCCCAAAGTGCTTTTCAAAAGATACCCATACTTTCTTTGTAAATGTGTTGCTTCTTGTTCAAGAAGCTTCTTCAGTTCTTCATTATTTAAATTGTTTTCATTATGCTTTGTTTCCTTCATATACTACCCTTACTACATTTAGCAACTAACCTTCAGATCCAGATTCTCAAGTAGCATTCCATAATTCAATCCTATTCATCTGCTCATATATTTTCTTTAAATGAAACAAATATAATAAACTAAAATTCATATGTTAATATATGGCCATCATAAAATCACACTACACTTCAGATTTTGATCAATCTATTCAATCCACTCTTTTCATCAAAACTGCCAAACCCTTTTTTCTTTTAACAAAACTAATCACCCAGTAGGATTTTTGCAGTCACTTATCCTACTTTTACCTGACATTCTTAAATGACATTCTTAAAACTGTCAACCAAAGGTAAAATCTTCACACAAGAGGTTGTACATCCAAAAACATAAGCAAAACACACAACTATATATTAATGTTTCTCTATTGATACAAACTATCCCTGAAGTTTTACCATTTTTAATATTCTTAAGCACTTCTGATTTTTGTTTCATCATTTTTTCTTGAACACCAATATTGACAGCATTCATTTCAGTTCTGCATGCTGATATATTGCTGACTTTCTCATTTCCTCACTTCAGTTTCATCCCCAATCATGTTATTTTTAATTCCATTCACACCAATGAAGAATCCTTACTTAGCTCTTTTCACTCACTTCCAAAGTTCCAAAACAACATCTATTTCAATCCAAATACTTCTGAAGTTTCTCTGTCTTTTTTTAATTGTATCCATCCCTTGCTTTCTTTGACTTTACTGCAATTAACTTTTTCTCTCAATGAGAAGAATAAAAAGAGTGTATTGTATTGTATTGTGCCTAGAGGTGGAGCTTTTGCCTCACAATCAGGAGGCTGAAAGTTCATTCCTAGATATCGACAGATATTTCTTTCTCTGGGTACAGTGAGTAATTGTTTGCTGTGAACTCCACGTAGGCATCAGGAAGAGCATTTAGCCAGTAAATGCTCAGCTCCGTTCACTTGCCTCGACTCCACCCTGAAGCAAGGGTTTATAGGATAATTAAAAAAAAAAAAAAAGCAAAAATTG